AAATAATGTACCATGACACAGAAGATTGCACATTGATCTTGATATTAAACTAAAATATTTTACGAATCTTCTGTAGAATTCAACATGATCTAGGAAAGACAGAACATCTTTCACAGTCTTAGGTAGAGGGAGGTTTGCTATCAAATTAATTTTTGACCTATCAATTTCAATTCTCCCACTAGAACCAATATGACCTAAGACAATTCCTTGTGTCACCATGAAATGATATTTTTTCTAATTTAAAATAAGATTTGTTTCCTCACACCGGGAAATGAATTTTTAAAAATTTTCTAAACATGATTTAAATGAGTTATCATAGACATAAAAATCATACATAAATACTTCTAAAAATCACTCCAACATGTCACTAAAAATACTCAACAAACAAAGCTGAAATGTGGCTGGAATGTTACACAATCCAAATAACATTCTTATATAAGCAATGGGGTTGTAACCTGAGTACCCATCCAAAAACAATAAAATGCATGTCATGCTATCCTTTCAAGCACTTGGTAAATAAAGAGTAGGGAAAAATGGTCTATTCGGATAAGAGAATTTAACTTTTGATTGTCAAAACATATACATCAACTCGTGACTGTATGTATAGGAACTAATTTGTTTTCTTGATTTCTCACTACATAACACCAGACTTTTTGGATACTATTTATGTAGGGCTGACCCATTTACTGTCAGAGACGGGATATATAATACCTACATCTAATAGCTTATGTATTTCAGCTCTAACAATTTCTTTAAGATGTGAATTTAACCTCCGTTGTGGTTGTTGAGATGACATAGAGTCTTCTTCCAATTATATACAATGAGTATAGAGAAAAAAACTTTATTCCTTTAATATCGACTATAGTCCAACCAATTGCACATTGATGATTTTGATGACTTTTATCAATTGAAATTCTGGTGAATTTGACAACTTTGAAAATAACACCACTGGATAAATTTCATCCTCCTCCAAAAAGACATATTTCAAGTCAGTTGGAAGGGATTTCAACTCTGGTTTGGGTGCCATGACACTTGATTCAACAGGCTTTTGTTCCATTGGGTGATATTTCTTCAAAATTTGGAACTCATGTTCTAACAGTAGACATATCTACAAAAGACCAAAAATTATTTGCAAACTCATTTCTATTCACAGACTCAAACAATGCATGTGACTCTCTTTCTTTCTTACTACATGCATCTTCAAACAACTTTTGAGTTAATGACTCAATGAAATTTATTTCTTGCAAATCTTTTTCTTCTGTTTAGAAATATCAAACACATTCAATTCCAATGTCATGTTACCAATTTTTTTTTTTCATAATTTCATTCCTACAATTAATCAAAGTATTTAACGTCATTAGGAAAGGGCGATTCAAAATGACAAGAATTTGCATAGTAACAATCAAAACGGGCTGGGTATCCAAAATAATAAAATTCATAGGAAAATAAAATTTATTAACTTCAAAAAAGATATTCTTAACAACTCTCCGTGGAATTTTCATAGATGAGTCAGCTAATTGCAATGTGATGTTAGTGAGTTTTAACTCACCTAACTCTAATTACTCATAAATCGTAAATGGGTGTAAATTGACACTTGCTCCGAGATCAAACAAAACTTTCTTAATCCTGAAGTTTCAACTTATACATGACTGTGGTCCTTCCAGAATCTTTGTACTTCAGCGGGTGCTGAATTATAGCATTAGTCTATTTAGTTAAAAATACTCTTTTTGTATATCGATCATTCTTTTCACCGTACAAAAATCTTTAAAAAATTTAACGTATAACGTCGTTAAACTTAACAATGCCGTTGATTTGTTCAAGATTAACGTGCTATTAAGTTTGACGTCGTTTTGGGCTTTGGTACCATTTTGCTTCAACTGCACAGTGAATTTCCTCGTGCATTGGCCTGTCCAATCCTTTGAATTTCATTCTCTCTCCGCCAGTCTTCTCTCTCTGCTACACAAATTAAGCTACCATTGATCGATGAATATAGATACAGGGTTTTGGCAAGAGACAAAAGACTAGTAAATAAATTAAGTAAATAGGTAGCCATTTTTAATTTTTTCACAATTTAAGTAAAATAAATAAGCTTTGATTCCAAACTCTCTCAATGTTTGAAACAATTCTTTGTGCTTGTCTGAAATCACAGATAGAGAGAGCTTCCAACTCCTGGGTCTTCAAGGATTTGGATGAGCTGATATTTGGGGAAAGATTCCTAGCCCATCCTTAACCATTGCGCATGCTTGAATTACAAACAGGGTTCATAGTCTTGGTCGAGTCGTATCCGCATCGGTCCATATCAAAACGATACCAACACACGATACAACAAATCCACGATTCCCACTCGAATCGATCATGTATCGGAGACAACTCGAAAAAATCGGTACAACTTGGATCCACCTCAGTCGATTCGAACCTAACTCGTCACCAAATCAGTTGAGTTGCAATCGAATAGCAGACCCATATGAAAAACCAACTATCAAAAGGCAAAAAAGGAAGAAAAAAAAATAGAAGAGGAAGAAACAATCCAAAGTCTAAACCTTACCAGGAAAACAAAGCTACTGGGTCTTGCTACGCCTCTTTTTCGTCATCGCAACACAAGGGAATCAAGGGATCAAGCACTAGGTACCGTCGCAGAAGACCGTTGGTCGACGATGTCTTCTCTGCCGGCTTAGACTGCGATCTCGAACCATCTTAGGAGTTTCTCCTACTCTCGTTTTCTTTCTCTCAATCTCGAACTGGTCTTTCACTCTCTCGAACTGGACTAGATGGGTTTTATTTTGTTATTTTGGAAGTATTTCTATATTTAAATGATAAATTGTTTTACTTTTATATATGGGAGAATTACACTCAGACCTCTTAAGATTTGTCACTTAATCATTCAGACCCTAAACATTTGAAATATTACACACAGATTTCTTGACGTTTGTACGCGTATAACACTTAGACCTTTATTGTAAATATATCTGTTAATAAATTACACTTAGACTCCTTTAAAGTTTGTGGATATATAATATTTAGATCCTTTAAGTTTAAAATATTATACTTAGACAAAAAATATTCAACTCAAATATAAAATATCAAATATTTTAAAGTTTACAATCACAATTTATGTTTTATTGTATCATTTATTGAAATAAAATCAAAAATAAAAATTCAATTTTTTCTTAAAAAATTATAATTAATATACAATTATATTATCTATTAGAATTTAATTTAGTTGTTTAAACGACTAAATTAAAATACCAAACTACCCCAATTAAATCTAAAAGATATAATGTTCATTATAGTTTGATTTCTTGTTTAATCTTTTAGTTTTGTTCTAATAGACAGTATAAATATATACTAACTATGTTTTTTTTAAAATAAATTTTTATTTTTGATTTTATTTCAATAAATGACATAATAAAATATGAATTTTAGATGTAAAATTCATGTTCTATTATGAATGACTTAGACTCATTGTTTAATTTTTTTAGTTTTATTCTAATAGATAGTATAATTTTATACTAATTACGAATTTTTTAAGAAAAAATTAAAATTTTATTTTTAATTTTATTTCAATAAATGATACAATAGAATATGAATTTTGGTTGTAAAATTTAAAATATTTGATATTTGATATTTGATTGGAGTATTTTTAGTCTAAATATAATATTTTAAACTTAAATGGTCTAAGTATTATATACCCACAAACTTTAGGGGAGTCTAAGTATGATTTATTAATGGATATATTTACAACAGAGGTTTAAGTGTTACGCACGTACAAATATTAGAGGTTTGTGTGTAATATTTTAAATATCAGGGGTATGATTGATTAAGTGACAAATATCAGGGGATCTAGATGTATTTCTTCCTTTATACTATTAAACAATATTTGTATTTTTATTTTATTATGGGTCCAATTCTACTGTTTTAATATTGAATGCAATAACTAATCTTGCATTCACCAAGTAAATTTTATTAATAAATTGGCTAATCTATTATATATTTTTTTTATTTTTATCGAATATTTTAACTACCTAAAAAATTGAACAATGATTATAAATATCTTATGTAAGGCACTTATAATTTACTTTCACTATGTTTAATATGTAGGTGATTTATTTGGGACATACGATACATGAATTGTGTTCTTTATATGTTTTAAAATTTTTCTCAATTTTTTCAAAAAATTTTGGACCTTTTATCTAGTGTTTTGAGTGTCTTGACTGATACCGTACCGCTATATCACGACTAATATATCTCAGTATCTTTTGAGTTAAATGACCAATATTACAACCTTAAATCATGATTGGAAAGCGAGTTAACATATAGCAAAATAAGATTGCTTGTGAAGAGGAGAGAGAGAGATCGGGGGTAGTAGAATTTGCGTGAAGAGAGAAATCATGGGTCGTAAAAATTTCGAATTCTCACAATGAGATTTGGTGAGAGAGTGTTTAAATGAGATGCAGAGGGGGTTTGTTTTGGGTAAAAGCTCAAGTTTTTAGGAGCCTCTATCAAAGTGTGTCGTTCTTTTCGGGGACTAAATTCTACTGTGCAAAATAAACTTAGACGGTGCCGTTTTTGTCCAACAGCAAGCGGTGCTGTTTGTCTCAAACAGTTGAGGAGCTGCACCTGTGCTGTTTATTCCTTAACCGCAGACAAGCCAAACCCCCCCGAATGCAGCCTCTCATGTTTGACCCTGCCCTGCGTTCTATGCAGGATCTTCCCCCGGTCCCTTCGTTTTCGTTCTCGTTCTCGTTTGGATNAGCCTCTCACGTTTGACCCTGCCCTGCGTTCTATGCAGGATCTTCCCCCGGTCCCTTCGTTTTCGTTCTCGTTCTCGTTCTCGTTCTCGTCTTATGTAGTATTCGCATTCCGCGTAGATCCCATACCGATCTGTGAGGTCTTGTGCCTGCGATTCCTTTAAGATTACCGTCCAGTTTCTCGGAAAAAACGTTCTTGTCCCTCTACTTTCTCGTTTGGCTAGTGGTTTGTTTAGCTCGGAATTCAAAATCATGGGTTTGCGATCAAACCCCAGGAAGAGTGATTTCTCTTCCCCCCTTGTCCTTTTCTTCGTTCTCTTTGCCGTCTCTTGTGTTTCTGCTCAGGTATAGAACATATTTGATAATCTCTTTCGCTCTCTTTCTGTGTTTTTGTGTTCTTTGCCTGTGATGTTTGAGTGCTGTTTGACATTTAGGAATCTGGGGCTGGAGCTGATAGGGAAGAGTCAATTGGATCAATCAAAGATCTGGGCCGGCGCAGCAAAGTGAGTGAACTCTCTCTCGTCCTTTTTTGATAGTGTGGGCATATGTTTTCTCTCACGCGGCTGAAAATAACTCAAACTCAACCAGCCTTTGCCCAAACTATTTGGGTATAGCCTGTTCCGCCTTCAGAGGCGTATGTTTTGTATGAAGCGCAAGCCAATTGCTGCAAATAGATGGATTTAACGGTCTGAGTGTTGACTTTTCTCTAATTTGGTTTTCCAAAACTGATTTATATATGCCGTTTGGCAGCATGAAAAACAGGTTTTGAAATTGCATTTGGACAAATATTAGTTCAGGATATGAAGTCCTGCTCAATATCCAAATTTCAGGCCTTAATTCCATGCTTCCGAATGCAGTATTAGGTTTTGTTTCACTAATTAAACCGAACATATGTTCTGATTGAAGTCCTTCCATGTGTTTTTTAATGCGAATGATGAGGTATCTAGGATAAGTACCTTCGCATTTTTTTTCCCCATGAGTTCTCGGCACTGGTGATATAATTCTCAGTTGTGTTTACCTGATGCTAGTAATTCTGGAGATAACTTATTACCTTAATCAAACCAAACCAAATCAAGCCTTATGTTCTACACATTTAGGGTCTGCTATATGAGTCCGTTTTTGCCATTTATTTTGATCATATGCTCATTTGAGTTAAATATTTTCATATTTTTTCTTATTATTTCAATTAATGTTATATTTAAATCTACCCCTACTTCTAGTACCATAAAAAAAAATTCCATCACTTTTTCAAATTGGTGTCTCTATCGGTTTACGTTGAACATGACCAAACCATCTTAATCTGTTCTCTCTAATTTATCCTCAATTGGAGAGTTACTCCTACCATTTCTCTAATATGGTTATTTCATATTCTATACTTTCTAATTTTTCTACACATCCATCTTAATATTCTCATTTCCACTAGACTCATTTTGTCATTATGTTATTTTCTAATTGTCCAACATTACGTCCCACACAACATTACTGTCCTTATAGTTATTCGGTAAAATTTACCATTCAATTTTATTGGTTTCCTTCTATTACATAATATACTAGAAACTTTCCTCCACTTAAGGCAACCGGTTTTGATTCTATGAGTTATATTATCTCCAATCTCTTCGTGTGTTGATTCTATGAGTTACATTATCCCCAATCTCTCCATCATTTTTAATGATCGATCTTNCTCGGCACTGGTGATATAATTCTCAGTTGTGTTTACCTGATGCTAGTAATTCTGGAGATAACTTATTACCTTAATCAAACCAAACCAAATCAAGCCTTATGTTCTACACATTTAGGGTCTGCTATGTGAGTCCGTTTTTGCCATTTATTTTGATCATATGCTCATTTGAGTTAAATATTTTCATATTTTTTCTTATTATTTCGATTAATGTTATATTTAAATCTACCCCTACTTCTAGTACCATAAAAAAAAATTCCATCACTTTTTCAAATTGGTGTCTCTATCGGTTTACGTTGAACATGACCAAACCATCTTAATCTGTTCTCTCTAATTTATCCTCAATTGGAGAGTTACTCCTACCATTTCTCTAATATGGTTATTTCATATTCTATACTTTCTAATTTTTCTACACATCCATCTTAATATTCTCATTTCCACTAGACTCATTTTGTCATTATGTTATTTTCTAATTGTCCAACATTACGTCCCACACAACATTACTGTCCTTATAGTTATTCGGTAAAATTTACCATTCAATTTTATTGGTTTCCTTCTATTACATAATATACTAGAAACTTTCCTCCACTTAAGGCAACCGGTTTTGATTCTATGAGTTATATTATCTCCAATCTCTTCGTGTGTTGATTCTATGAGTTACATTATCCCCAATCTCTCCATCATTTTTAATGATCGATCTTAGCTATCTATTTTGTTTACTCTTTAGTATTTCTTGATTTTTAATCTTAACTTTTTACTATGTCTACTTCTATTACTAAAATTGCATTGCATATGTTCAGTCTTACTCCTACTTATTTTAAGCCTTTCGATTCAAGTGTCTCCCTCTAAATTTTTAGCTTATTGTTAATCACTCTTTGAGTTTCATCTACTAATAAAATATCATCTATAAATAGCATACACTGTGGGCAAGGATCAAAATTTTGTTTTGGTTACCTAGAAAATAGAAACGTTTCGATATATTTCAAAAACGTCTCGACTGATTTTGGAAATATAATAAAAAAAATAAAAAATAAAAAATTATTTTTTCAAAATATTGGTCGAAATATATCAAAGTATTCTGAAATACTTTAAAACATTCCGAAATAATTGTGTAAATGCATTGAAATATTACAAAACATCTCGAAACATTATAGAATTCCTCAAAATATTATAATTTCGATTCTATCACTGATTTATTTCGGTCTTCTTGGAAAAGAAAACATTTTGACCTTTTTGAAATGAAATTTTGATCTTTGACCGTGGGACATTATTTTGAATGTGCATAATGAATTCATCTATAATTAGGGCGAATATGTATGGACTTGGGGCCGATCTTTACTGCAATCTCACTGTGATTGAAAATTCTTTCCTTTCTCCCACGAAAGAATTAATTGTAGTCATACACTGTCATTTATGTCTTTTATCACCTCAGTATACCTATTCATCACTCCTTTTCGCTCAAACACCTTTCATACTATATTTCTAGGCACTTTATCATATGCCTTTTTTAGATCTATAAATATCATATGAAGATTTTTCTTCTCTTTCTATACTTTTCTATGAGTATCCTTAATAAATATATAGCCTCATAGTTAATCAATTATCATTATTAGGCGAAACCAATTTGAAACTCTTTATTAGGCTCGAGATTGCTTTTGAATACCTTTTTTAATGCAAAATATAAAGATCCACTAATTGTTTGTTCAAGTGTAGGTCAATCAATGAAGCAACAACCATAACAATAAAAAGAGCATTACTTTAAACATTGGGCAAGAAACGAAATATATTGTGGTTTGGCTAACGGAAGCTTCCGTGGGCATCCACAACCACAAAATCCATTGTAGTTAGGATTTTTGCTAGTGAGTTTTTGTTCCTTCGGCAACCCAAAATTGGTTATAGACTCTTGTGGCTCGTCAAGTATGAAGCTTTTCAGTTTTACCCCTAGACTCCTTAGCCATCTGTGTCCTAGTACATACTCTTCATCTCTATATTTAGACTCCCTACCATGATATAGTAAACAATAAAAATTACCAAATAAGATGATGAACACCAAAGGATTTGCTTCATTGTCGTTCACGCAATGATCTAGATAACTAGCTCTATTACAATTAGGAACTATCACACCATCCAAGAATCTTAAGATTAAAGCATGCAAGTAGAGAGTTTTCTTTGGGTATGCTCAAGTTTTATACCTAGACCAAAACATTAGTTCATTTGTGAATAAAATTAGAAATCTCTCTAAGAATTTTCATCCAACAATCAGATGTTTGAAGCCATTTTTCAGACAAAAGCCTAACAAGATGACTTTGTTCAACCTTCTTTGAATGCTCTTTAGACGTTGTAGTCAATCTCAAAATTAAATTCTACTATAACCAACATTTGAACCATCTTCACTTAGCGTTTGAACGTTCCTCAAACACATGTTGATTGTTGTACCCCATTTTGCACTATTGCACACTTAGTACTGAAAAGTTAAGTAAGCCAACATATCTTCTAATATCTAGGGTAGATTGTTCTTGGAACTTTGAAAGACCTTATAGTAAGACCTAAATAAGGGGGTGATTAGGTCTATTAAGAATTACTCCAAAGTATAACTTTTAATCAATTCAGGAAACACATCAATATCAATAACAAGCAAAGAACAATTTTTTGTCAATCTTTTGGTCCCAAGAGAGAATATTTTCAAGATTTGGGGTTAATCATCCATAGAGATGAAGAGGTTGGAGACAATGTCAATCATAGAATTAAAGAAGGTTGGACTAAGTGGAGAAATGCATGTAGCGTGTTATTTGATTGCCGTATAACTAAGCTTGTCAATGGATTGGATTTTGATCCGAATTCAATTTGTCTGATAAGGATTAATATTTTTTTACCAATAATCCAAAATCAAATCTGATATCTTATATTTCACGGATTTGAATTTGGATATACCTATATCCTATTTGATCTGATTCGAATTATTTATACATTTTTATATAAATATTAAAGAAATTAAGTGATTATTTAAAAAAATTTAGTATGAAATTTAGGTATAATTTGTTAAAATGTAGTTAATTAAGTTATTCAGATCGGATTGGATTTTTGAATCGTTAACGGATTTGGATATGGACTACGAAAATAAAATTCATCAGATTATCGGATCGGACTTTTGAAATTGGATTCGGATTCATATTAGTCAGAATCTGATCCAAATCCGATTTGTTGACGGCCCTACGTATAACCCTTATGTTGACAGGCGAGTTTTATAAAACAACCATTAGACTAACAATGATTTATGGGCCAAAATGTTGGGTAATAAAGGAACAACATGCTCAAATACTAATTGTTGTAAAAATGCGCATGTTAAGGACTATTTTGGTAAAACAAGAAACCGTATAATTACAAATGATTACATTCGTGAGAGCGTAGAAGTAGCACCAATAAAAGATAAATTAAGATGGGGTGGGGAAATTAATCAACTCAGGTATTTTATTAGTGGAACAAAAAGAGGTTTGTAATCCATTGATGTTAGTGCCAATGAAAATGAAATGGGGGATTTAGCTCTTAGGGACCCTTTAGCTCAACCTATTGTGGATGTTGATTGCCTTCACCAAAATAAATGACCTTTAATTCCAGAGGTATGGAGGGAGTGTGAAGAGGAGGAAGTTAATGGGGGGGATAGGTTTTACCTTTCTGATGAATAGAAATGGTCTATACTAAAGAAGTTTTTTGAAAAAATGGACTTGTCTTTAGTTCACAATAAAAGAAAAGGTAAAAATAAATGGGGAGGGGGAAATTAGAGAAAAAAATAAAGGATCGAGGGAATTGAGAAGTTTAAAGTGTAAA